CCGCTAGAAAGAGAGGATATAGAAAGAAAAAAGAGACGGCGTCGGCTCATGCCGTATGTTATGCCGTGAGACAAGCACAATGTTCCCTCGACACGAGGCAACAAACAGCGCACACGCTGAGACTGTTGCTTCGGAACGGAATTTTTTCCTGCGGTGGTATGAAAGACTTTATAAGTAAATGACCGTGAGCTCGCAAAGTGATGCCTTATCCTGGGATTAATTACATACCCCTAATACCCAATGAAACATCGGTTATATATGTGCCGTTAGATCTATCGTACATTGCATATGCAAGAGGTACCTATATGTACGATCGATGTAGGGCCGAGGGTCAGCGAATATCAATACCCTAGCACCATACTACCTATGCACTCATCAGACGAGACCAAGTAGGTATCAATCTATGTAAGCGCAAGGCAATAATACACTGATAAAGAACCCACTCACATACCAAAGAACCGAATCGAAGACCTCATCGATATGCTTGCTACCTACTCATGAAGCACAAGAGACAGTACAGTAAAACCCGACAAACCCGAAGATCAGGTACAAACGGCAAGGCACATGAGCGAAGGCGGCTGTGCATGTGTGCCTGTGTGCGCGGTATTGCGATCAGATTGCGTAAGACAGACGCAATACCGCTAGGCGACAGCATACAGTATACTACTTATTATACCATAACCACACTATAGAGACACGGGATCAGAAATGGATGTGCATGCGCGGATCCGAACCGAACTACTCATACCTAGGTTACCAACGACGCTGGAGAAAAAAGCGTCGGAGCGGATCGGATCAGGAAGGACTCGGCCGGGGTCGAGGCTTACGCAGACTTACCTACTCGCCTACTTGCCTACCCGCTTGCCCTATCTTATTGCTTCAATCCTTCACGTTCTCGCCTAATCAGGAAACTAGCTAGCTCTTTACTACTAAGTATGTATTGTCTCTCGCTGTTATGCTGATGGCTAACACCGAGGGAGGGGGAATATACGGAATGAGCTTACCTTTTTTTCTCTCGTACAGTATGGTAGGAATTTGTTGGTACTTCGGAGATCGCCGGCGGCGGGAATGATCTCTATTCTGTAACGAATGTTGGTTCCATCGAGACACGAACGTGGGGGGCACAGTGAACACGGCGGAGGAGTACCGATACATTAATCACAGTCACATTACGCGGATTGAAAAACGATGTGATGATGTACAAAAAGTGTAGTCCAGGTTATAATAGTAATATTCAGGAAAATATATTTTGGTTCCCCCAAAACCAAAGCCGCGAGTATTACCACGAACTAAAATGCATGTTATCAAAGAGAAAAGAAAAAAACCACCGTCCCTGTCCAGACGCCGTGTATATGCCGAGGACCTGATACTAGATACATAGGAAAAAGTGATGACGATAAGGATGCGGATGGGGATATATGGATAAAACCTGAATGGCCATGATGCAACGAGAACCAAACCACCAAAGTAATGAATAAACCACAACTCCGTACCAATGCAGTAGATGCCCTCCTTCCTTCCCCATTCCCCAAGACTCTAGGAAATATGCAGTGAATGAGAAGAGTAGGCAGAGAAATAGATAAACAGATGTATGTAAACCACTACTCCGTAGCCGGCAACACGAACCGGACCTTCTTCTTCCTTGGCTTCACAGCCGGTATGTCTATAGGTTGAGTCTTCTTCTCGCCCACAGCATCTTCGAGGTCCTCGACACTGAGCCCCATCTCGCTCATCGTCTCCTTCTCCGGCTCCTCGTCGATTGACCAGACGTCTGGGCTGGGCTCGCGCCAGGAGTGGCGCCTCTGCAACGTCCGTCCGAGAGCCCTGACGCGCCGGGATGGCGGTGGGGGCGCGAAGCGCTTGGCTAGACGGCCCCGGGGCGATCCCACGTGGAATGAAGGTGAGGATGGCGAGAGTAGAGCGTCTGAGTTGCGATGGCTGGGAGAGTTGTTGTGGCGCGGATGATCGAAGTAGTCGTCGAGAGCGAACGGGAGTGGCTTCTGAGGTGTGAACCTTATGTAGTCCTCGTCATCGTCGTCGCTGCTCTCATAGTCGTTGTTGTCGTCGTCGTCGACGTCGTCATCATCATCATCCAGGATGGCGCAGTCTGTGTCCTTGCTCTTGGCTTTGTACCGCCTGAGGCCGTCGAGCGTGGAAGGGCTCACGCTCCGGACGATCTGACGGGGACTGTTGGAGTCCTCGATGCCTGCATCGAAGTCGAACTCAAACTCCAGTTCCTCCTCTCGCGGAGTTGCGGGTGTTAGGAAATATTTGAGAGGGTTCTCGGGCCGTGATAGGGTGTCGATGTCTTCATCGTCTGTGGAAAGCCCTTCTCTGTCCTCGTCCAGCGCCGGTGGGATGCGGCTAGGACTGGAGGGCCATAGCCCGGTGGTCGGCCATGATTGCCGATGCACTGCATTCCGTGCATCTGATGGTAGGAGAGGCATGATGGTTGGGTGATTATAGTAGAGCGTGGTAGAGCAAGGATCCTTGATGGTAAAAGCCTGGTTTCCAGGTCTTCATTTCAAGCCCGGATGATGCGAAAACAAACTCCAAGGGTTGGGAGCGAGGTGAGAGGCGAGGTCACGGTCTCTACAGATCTAGATGTTTAGAAAGTGCAGTGAAGATGGCAAGGAAGAGAAGCCATAGCCTCGAGCCAGAAGTGTTAAAAAATCAAAAGCACACAAAAACAGGAAAATACGGCGGTGAGGCCAGATATATATACATTGTCACAGGCAGAAGAGATACCTACCTTATGTATGTGGAGGGATGTGTAAGAGATGGTGGCTGGAGGAGCTCGGTTAGTCACCTGTTGATCGAAGCCCGCTGCCTTGTGGGAGGGAGCAAGTCGTATACAGTACGCACATACTATGCCGCTCTGCCGCTACGCCGGCAGCGATGGATGATGGGCGGTGGTCATCCCGGTCCCTCAGCTGTCGAGACGGGTAGGTATCTGAGAGAACCCCACAACATGGCTTCCTTGGGGGGAACAGACAGACAGAGACAGGATTGCCGTGAATCAATCACAGGGCGCAGGGCACGACGACTCACCCGCACCGCACCAGCACATATTCCCAAAGCGGAACACGGCAGGCCAAGAGGGTGTGGGAAGGGTGTAGGAAAACCGGGCGAGGATACGAGTGCAAGACGAGAGTACAAGACTATTGCCTCGCGCGTGTGTAGTCAGACTAACGACTACGTCCCTCCATGCACATGTATCCCCTCCCCCCCCCACTACCTACTACTTGTCTCTGGCTCTCTGTACTTGTCTCTGTCGTGCTGCTCGTCTCGTCTTGTCTCGTCAAAAGAAAACAAGGCATCTGACATGGTCGCACACCCTCTTCCACCACCATGCCCCGTGTACCCGACGCGAGCGTGCATCTGTGTGCGACGCTGGTGAGGCTCGTGAGCTCTCGTATCATTCGCTGTTGTCTTAGTGAGTCGATCGCTCTGCACGGCCAGGGATCGGGACTGCGCATGTATGCACCGCGTCCGCGTTGTACCTTGCATGATGAATGCAGAATGCAGAATGAATGAGCGAGACGATGCTGAACCCGGCTGCTGCGGTTAGCTATCTTATCATGACGGATGGCATGTTACTTCTTCTTCTAAGTAGAAGCCTGGTTATGTACCTAGTGCAGCATATGCTTGCTGCATCTGTCTTATACTACACAGGTAGTAGTACTGTAAGTAGTACCTAATGTCTCATGTCTACTACCAAGTACCAAGCTGTAGGCATACATGACAAGATATAAGTGAATGTACAAGGCTTAGTATAAGACCCCAGACGAACAGGTATAGTATCTGATTACTATCGAATAGCCTTAGGTAAGTAAGTACATATACGTGGTACGGTCAGCGGGTGGTGACAGGGCACAGAAGGACCACCTCGCTTTTCGCTACTGTACTATAATCTTAAGGGTTCTGCTAAGGGACTTGACAACTGCTGACGCTAATGGAATAGATATAGCGTTGGGTAGAAATGGATATCTTCAAGTTGGTGCATCGGCATCAAGAAAACCCAATACCTCTACAGTGATTAGTACACAGATAGCGTAGTAGATCAGTTGCTTGTTCAGAGATACTCTCCCCTCACTTGCCCTCACTCACCTAACCTACACTAACAATTAGTATACCAAATACCAGATACCACCTACCGTTATCGACCACACCACCCTCTCGCCACCTTCGGTGTGACTGGAGACACCACTGCTGCATAATGCACAGTATGCGAGAGTATCTGGGAGGGAAATATCTTGTTTGCCTTGGAGAAGTGCTCCTTTAGAGTGCTTTCGCATGCATCAGATGACACAGCTTATCAACCCGCCCACAGCCCGGTTGTAACCCTCCAAGGTGTGGTGAATTCGAGGATTGACGGGTTCAGAGTCATAGCTACGGTCAAATTCCCCCTCACCGGAAGGATTCGGAAACCTGATTTCCACCTGTTGTTGACTTGATGTCCCCATTCTCGCTTGAGAATTCTCCGACATGCCCATGCGTGCGCAGGGTGTTTCTTTTGTTCTTAGTGGAAAAGGTGAATGATGGAAGCTCTTTTGGAGGGGTGATACAACAGACGATATCGGTGTAGATAAGCAAGAAGACCATGTGGGTAGGTTAAGAAGCTCGAGTTCCACCGCCGTCGGCGCTTTTCAAGCTCGACTCAGCCTAACTCGTTCAAATCGGGGCCTCGTTAATTAGTGACCCTGCACTATCCCCACCCAAAACCTATCAGACACAACCAAACATGAAAAACTTCGACCCAAGCACCAAGCGCAAACATCAAAATCTATCTTAGCGACCAGCAAACCCACAACAAGGAAGCTCGTCGCTTTCCTTCCCCTTCCAGGGCTTGTGGTTTAGTGGTATAATACTCCCTTAGCATCTGCTGGCACTCCTCTTCCGAAGAAAGAGTCCACGAGAAGTTTGGGAGTGGTCCGGGGTTCGATTCCCCGCGAGTCCAAATGCCGGTGGTTCGATCCCACCTGTACCCTTTGATTTTCTCCGAATTGGTGTAGTGGCTAACATTTGACGCTCTCATCCCTCCCAGCCGGGGTGCCGTCAAGCCCGGGGTTCGATTCCCCGATTCGGAGTGATATGTGATCTTGCACAACTTTTTGGAACTTTTCCCCTCGCCCTCCTGCCCGTTGCCTTCCTAAAGAAAATACGTAGTATGCACAGGTAGGTCATGAGTGATAAGATAAGACAGGCTTACCTTGTCTCCCGGGTTCCCGTAACGGGATATATCGGGCCGTTCTTTTAACATGTATCTTGTATTGTAAATGCATGTCTTCCCTGTAGGATGTTTTCTTGTGAAACATTCTCGTCGAACACCAGTTTTAAGATTGGCAACATATAAACCCACGTTGGATGCATGCGCACTGATTCTACAGCAGGGGATAAGTTGGCAAATGGTCTTATAATTCACGAATCAGCCCCGCGAGCTCCAAGGTAAAAATCTCCGAGTCGTAGATCATCACCATTATCATCACCTGCAGGCTTCCCACTTCGGTTCTACCCGTGTGGACGTGGAGTTGAAGTTTGCTGAGAGGTCAGGCTGGCAGACTTGCAGGCTGGTAATCCAACCCTAAGCCATCCACCCCCCTTCACGATGGAGCAGACTCTCCGCAGTATAAATAGTATACCCAACTAATGTAACTAATATATCTAATGTCTCGGCTTGATAGGCGCCCTTAATCAAAATAACGCCCCGTTGGAGAGCTGTCACGTGAAAGCTACAACCACGTGAGGCTGGAGGAGGGTAGCTATGTCCAATCAGCATTCAATCTAGGTAAACGCAGCCTGTACATAATCTACCTAGTCCAAGACATAGAACGCTACCTAGTACCGACCTCATGTACAGCTAATTTTTCTCGACGCCGTAGTCACGGTGTTCGCAGTGTTCATAGTTGCCGCCAGTATCGCGATCGTCGATCCCGCTTAGATCAAGTGCCCAGGGCGCGGCCGTCCTAAAAAAAAAACTGTCGTTTTCGAGACGAAATATCCCAGCAAAACTCCTGACCAAATCCTGCATCTCCTCACCATGGGAGTGGAGGTGTTTCATGGCGACTTGTTTTGCATGATCCGAGTTCGAGTTCACAATGACGTCGACCACCCAGATTCGAACCGAGTTTGGCTCCTGCAACGGCTTCTGCCGCCTCGTTACACAACCTGCGCGCTTCGCACATGGTCCACTCGGCTGGGACCTGGCCCTGGCTTGGTAATGACCTGGGTGTCTGGAACAATTAATAAACACCTCGTCAGCCGTCCCTGAATATCGCAGCGTCGCAGTGTCGTTATGGGCAAGTCGCCAAGAGATGCAACCAGTCGACCCAGTATCCATCTTAGTCGAAGGCTAGTGTTGTGCAACTATCTCGATAGCATGGCTAGAACTTTGTTTCTAACCATGCCCGAGTGATCGTAACGGCGTCACTCATCTCAATGTTTGTTCGTCATCGGCGGTAAACGACTGGTGACACCGCTCATCGCAGAAATCGAAACTAATTTGGCAGGTCAGGACCTGGTGCCGACTGTAACTGGACACTATGAGCTCTGCTTTAGATTCACTGACTATACGTACCTGGCACAATGGGCATCCTTAGATTCCAATCGACACTGGTATCTCCAGCATCTACCATCGTTTTCCTGGGGGGCTGATGTAATTGCCTCGCCCTATGACACAACTTGTAACCAACAGAGCTTGGTCTCAATTTCACCCCTATCAAAAGAGACGATATAGGATAACACCTGTCACATTGTCGCAGGTGTTTTTCGAGCCGCTCGAGAGTAACACCTATCCGATACACCGCCGTCCTTCGACCCTTCTTCCCGGGTAAGACTTAGGAAGAAGGCGGTGAGGATGTTGTATTTTGTAACAAACCCCTTTCATCTGTTATGACCGTGGTCCTGAATTCTCGCCTGGTCGTAAAGTCATTAGACTGCAGTGCTTGTAGAAAGAATATCATGATTGAACCTACGCTGATGTCTATCTTACAGACAGACTATGCCTGCAAGTATGGGCCTATGTATGGCATCGTACACACCATCTTGTATCACGGCCACGGAGCGTTACTCCATCAAAAAAAAACTTTTCATGGAGGGTGGTTGTCTGGATGTTTGATGTCTTTTATCCACTTTATGGCTCGCCCAACCGGAACCATGCTGCAAGTATCAGGTAGAACTGTTGTCTTCTATCGACAGTCCAGTCCACCTGGCGCACGCAAGCAACACAGAACCGGCTGGATCCAGGAGTGGTCTTGCCGGCGACACAATCGAGAGGAACTATATGAGCAGCAAGAGCACTCGCATATGTCGACCCGTCGCGAGTGATGTCTGGTTTCGCATTCAGCCTGGGTCCAAGGACCAATATGGAAGCCGGCAATATCCGGCACCTGTCTCGCCCTTTCACCTTCCGAGGTCTGCTTATTGTCACGGCTACGGCCATCTGCCACGACTCAGAGGGGCTGGCCAGTGAAGCCGGGACATCCGTCTTCTGCCGAGCAAGAACAACCACGTCACCCCGATACTGCCGCAATTCCAGGGAGGGGCTTTGCCAAAAAGCACTTAGTCTGAGATCGTGGCATAACCCAGCATCGTTATCCTGAAGGTTGGGACGCAACGGGGCTACAAGGTTATCCCTTACATATACACCTCCTAAAAGAGCGGTGTGGTTCGCTGTCCCTCTCCATCGTCGGTTAGTGCCAAGAAACCCCCACCACGAGGTTGTCTTCACGATTTATCGATTGATTTACATTAAACCCCATGACGGGGACAGATATGCTCATAGTGTTGACGAATAATTGTTCTATACGGAGTACTTCTACTGGATTAGTGTCGAGTTGCGTGAGGTCATACAGCATACCATGATAGGAGCACTTGTAGGTGACCTATCACAGCTCATCTTGGTTGTAAGTGGGGGGTATACTGACGATGTGTTCGAGAGTTTTATACAGATGAGGATTAAGTCTGCACACTGTACGATACTTTACTATCCCTAGATACGAGCCATCGTAGTAATGACAAGTTTCCTTCTACTAAACCTTTACAGTTGGACGGGTGCTTTGCTGTCTAAACTAATCAGAACTTTGCTGAGATGGAGTACGAGAAGGCGTTTCCGGAGGATCTGCCTTCGGCGACGACCTCATATGAGCGAGAATGTCTACAACCAGTCAAAAGACACACATTACCTAGCAGTATGTGCACTCTTCGTCTTTGGACTTGCAGAGGAACCACAGGGAGAAACAGCAGGTTGCGGCTTACATACGCAAGACTTTTGCGTCGTACCTGTTATATCGCGCAGATCAAGAAGGAATCATCACGACCTGCCTGTGTAAGTGGTGTATCCATTCCATGCAAATGGGCGGTCCTTCTTCAACATCTAGACTACGAAATGTACTGTAGGATTGCATGCATACGGTCGAGACAGCCACCCACGCTGTCTTAGCAGACCGGGCGAGCCAATCGACTTGCATGAACTAGGTCCATTGTGAAATCTGTTGCCTACGACTTGGGGGTTTCTCTGGGCGGGGGCGGATGAGGAAGACAATAATAACGTCAAGTTTTGCAGTAGCTTGACCGGAAGCTGTATACAGCATGTGGATCGATATCGCGCCCGCTTCAGAGCTGTAATGTAATTCTATCGATTACACGTGTGTGGATTCATTGGGAAGCTCACCACAGATGATGAGTAGAAATGGAAGCAAGCATTTACGAGGTGTAGGAATAGTACTTACATCTCGTGGTTCCACCGTTAACAAGTACACCCACCAACTCCCACAGTGAAATACACCGGAACGAAGCATCGTATGTCATTCGCCCATCGTCGGTACAGTCCCGCTTATCCGGGAGAGTCCTACACCGTCAGTGACCACTCCCACCAGTGCTCTGTGGCCGAACAAGTGTTCAGTGGGAGGCAAGGGTGCGCAGACCGCTCTGCTACCGCTCTGCCATTGTTCTGCCACGTCCTCCCCCATTCACAGGCGGTGCAGCGCAGACAGCGGCGAGTTACTGTACACACAGCACTCGCCCAAGGAGGTGCCGCTGCAGCATTCGCCAAAGCATACCATGACTTGCTCCGTCGAGGCCTTCCATAGGGGGCGGGCATCATGTCGTCCAGCTCCAAGGCCGCCCCCGGTTGAGCGCGCGCGGGCGGCTGGTGGCTAATGCAGGCTCCCTTATTACTACTGCTGTATGGCCCCCGAATGGGGCAGGACGGTGGGCCTGGAGCTCGAACAAAGACCCTCTCTTGCCGTGCCATGCCTCTCTCCTGATGGTAAGTCTGGAGGGGGGTTGCGGAAAGGGGAATGGTTGTGCTGGCTTCCGTCTTGTGTTGTCTGCAACTAGAAGCGCCTGGCTGTAACTTGGCTAGATCCTACGAGCAAATGAGCAAATACTATTGTGTAGTGTCTATGCCACCGCTGACATGACGTTGCTGCGATGTGCGTTGTCGACGGCTACCGCATAAGCCCAATCCAATCCAATCCACCCCCTTCCCACCACCTCCTGAGCTGATGGTTGATTGCTCGCTCTGGGAAACACACATGCAGTCGTACAGGCCTCAATTGCAGAGCCACAGAAAAACCACAAACCATAGCAAAGGGTTTCTTTTGTTTTTATTTTAACACTTCTTTTGTGTGCGTCTAATCCAAGTAATCTAGTGGTGTATGTAGAAAATACCAGCCACAGGTCTCGCTTATTCAGAGTCTGAGGACCATCCCTTTCGGCAGTATTGATACCCAAAGCCCAACTTGGGCATTAAACCCGCCACAGACGAATTCCGCACGCTGGATTCTGTCGAGAGCGCACCGGAGACGTATCTTCTAGACTTTTCGTTCCCCGAAAAGACAGCTCTCACCTTTCGAAATTAGAATCTCCCCCTTCCCAGGCATGCCCATCCCAGCAGTAGTTCCCTGAACCAAATTCACGTCTTTTCTGTACCACAAGCTACATCCCTCTACCGTCAGGGCGAACCCGTCCGTTGACTTACACCGAAAACACCACCACCACCACCCACCCTTACAGTATACAACCCGTCTGCTTACCTGCCCTGGCTTGGCTCAGCCCAACATTCGCCACAGCAGACGTCTCACGATAA